GTAAGTTATTACTTACTTAGTTTACGTTTACCTTACCGTAACCAACTAACGTAAGTAAGTACGTACGACTAACTACTATATAATACTATATATACTTACTTACTTACTACCTACTACTCTCTCTCTCTCTCTCTCTCTCTCTCTCTCTCTCTCTCTCTCTCTCTCTCTCTCCCTCCCTCCCTCCCTCCCTCCCTCACACACACACACAAACACACACACATTATCATCATCATTACTCTGCACCTTGTGATACAGCTTTACGTAAATTTTTCTGACTTAATGTTAGCTTTCAAAAGAAAATTATGTAGGCTTTTTTAATGAAAATTAGAAATCCTAGATTATTTACAATTGCATTTTATGGCACATTACTCATAGCAAAATCCTAAACTACAAAGAATAATGTTCTGCATTTACAAAAAAAAGGAGGAAAGAACTCCCTACTTTTAATAAATTGATAGTTGCACTGTAATAGAAGAGTTAAGCAATATAGAGATGCTTACAATAGACTATTACGGTTTGATAGAGACCATCATAGGCCATTACGCTCAGAAATAGACAACAAGCAATTCAAAATGGACAAATGGACACCTAGTACAGCAGGAAGCCAGCCAAAGTGGCTTCAACCAAAGAGATTGTTTGGCCATCATCTATGTTTTTAGGTTTAAGATGGGTTCCAAAAGTTTGTCTCTTGCTATGTCCACATACAAGGACAAGCCCAAGTGGATGTCATTCTAATTTCCTCCTATGTGACCTCATCAACATTTTCAAACACCAGTTTTCCTTTACACTTTTTTTTTTTTTTTTTTTTTTTGAGAGATCTGTTTTCCTTTTCACTCTCTGCCCAGATACCTTCTCGAACAGTGTAGATAAAGCTTTAATTTCCAGTTCTCTAAACAAAGCATAGCTTCTCTAGCATATTATGTGGATTAATACCATCATCCACAACATGTGAAGCACAGTTTCTCTAGCATATTATGCCATTTCTGAGACAAAACAAACCATTAATGAAGCCCAAATTGCTCAGTCTCCAAAACACATTTGAGGAAAACATATCATGTAATTATAAGAAAGAAATGTTTTCAAAGCACAGGATGAGAAACTTCAACCTTGGAGCTTACATATGAACCAAGTAGTTGGTTACTAAATCCAACATTATTTAAGCTTCTCTAGCATATTATGTCATTTCTGAGACAAAACAAACCATTAATGTAGCCCAAATTGCTCAGTCTCCAAAATACATTTGAGGAAAACATATCATATAATTATAGGAAAAAATGTTCTCAAAGCACAGGATGAGAAACTTCAACCTTGGAGCTTACCTATGAACAATAATAGTTTGTTACTAAATCCAACATTATTTAATCTCTTTTTTCCAGTATTGTCAGTATATAAATTACTTATTACATACTACGGGCAAATATGAATGATACATCCATTATAAATAACATGTATACAAGGACCGGACTAAAGCAATAATATATAGGTTCTCTACTCAAACACCCCTAGAACTGATGCAATGGTATGCAAAATGTTTTTCACAAAAAACTAGTAGGATGTCTGAATCATGACCTCGGAAAGGATATCATCCAGCTAAAACACAAAATGACGTAAGGCAACGTGATCTCTAATGACCAAATCTCCCAAACAGAATACAATTGTCTTAAATATGCTTCATAAGCTCAAGGAACATTCACATAATCTGTAACTTATTGGTGTTACCAACATATGAATGTTTATGGGGAAAGATGGGGAAGCAAGACTCAAAAGGAATTTTTGTGCCTATAGAATCTCAAAACAAGCTTACGGCATTTTCTAATGCTCTGCTTCTTTGGTGAATTCAGAAAGAACACTTCTTTCTTTCTACATTTCCAGGATTTGAAAAACTGTCCTAGAAGGACCTAAATTGCTATGGGCCAATGGCAGTGTTCCAGGCCATGGTACATCTATAGAAACTAGAACTACATAGTTGACCAACTCCGGGGAAGATGATGACAGAAATTATATAGTACAGTCCTAGTCATAGTTACCAGAATCTCTCACCAAAGGTTGCGATTCCGATTCAGAATCCCGATTCGGTGATCCCGACAAGGAATTTTCACCAAATGCATTTCTGTGAAGTCAAGAATCTCGATTCCTTATCTTAGGAATCTCGATTCCTTATCTTAGGAATCTCGATTCCAACACGTGCAAAATATGATTTTCAATATTTATTGATTGTCAATTCCACAATTGTTGAATCTTGGTTTTACATTTGTTGAATCTGGATAAATGTAGAATCTAGATAGCACATATAATGATACTCTCTCTCCAAATTAAAAACACAAACATAGGGCCATGAAATACAAAATAAACAATTCAGAACCTATGAGAAACATCACATCAGAAACTCGATTTTAAAGATATCGGAATCTCGATTCCATATATGAAGGCATCTCAATTCCATATGGGGTTCAATTCCGCAATTGTTTAAAGCTTGGTTACGTACTTATTAGGAACTTTATTTCTTTTCTACTAAAATTTTGTTGTTGGGTTTTTTAAGAGGTTTGCAATCCTGCCACTATGAGGAAGCTCGTTGTACTTTGTGGATCAAACCATCATTTAAGCTCACAGAAGCATCCGAGGGAACAAGTATAGGACTTCCCCCCGATCATTCATTCTACCATCAGGTGCAACAATACTCGATTTTCATCACTACAAGTTGTCGTTATTATTTTAGGGTTGAATCACACCATTGATGCTAATGGGTTCCCCCTTGAGAGGTTTGAATTTTGATTTTTGGTTGGCTAATAGATTTCCATCTTTTTTTTTCTCTCTCTATTGGTTTTTCTTGTTGGTACTTGTTTCGATATGCTTATGGTTTGGAGGTAGCTGATGCCTTTTTTCTAATAGATTTTAGGGTTCTGATTTATTTTTTTTCATTTGGGTTCAGATTTTTCTTTTTTGGGAGCGTCAAGGACAGTATTTTTCTGGTTTGTATTAGGGGAGTGGATCTCCCAATTTGTACTTTTAGATTTACTTTAAAGTTTGTTGAATATGAAGAAATGAAGCTGTAAATCTTGATATATTTTGTTGAACATGAGAAATAAAGCTCTAAACCTTGAAATATTATGTTGGTTTTAATGGTTTCCTGTGTTTAATCCCTGGTGAAGGTCGTTTGTACATAACTATGAACTTTCCTTGTCAAAAAAAAACTGTATGTAACAATGAAGTTTCCACAGGTGAAGAATGAACGGGAAATTTTACAGTCTGGGCAGTCTTACAATAGTCCATTGCATATGATCTTTTTATTCTTGAATATTGAGTCATCTGAAAAACATTTTGTGGATAATTGATATCAGAACATCTTTAGTTGATGCATCGGATGGATATATCAATTTCTGTTCATAATCTTATGATACAAGAGGGTGGGAGGGTAACAGTGATCTAAATGTATAATAATTTGAATTGTCCATTTTGTTGTTCATACTGTGGTTTAATTATTTTCAAAAAATTGTCTTCACTAGATAGATTTCAAAATCTAATCAACAAATCCAGGTTTTACAAATACATAAACCAAACAAGGGATTTACAATATCCTGGGTTGATCCAAAAACTATCCAAACAGTATGGCCCCCAAAACTCGGTTCTGCATGTCCTAGGATCCAAACAACAACCTATAAGAGATAATTGCCACGTCTAAGGCGACCATACGTTCCTATGCCTTTTTTTTCTTTTTGTTGGCCAGACACAGGATCAGCCTCTTCTACATCTGTTTGCTGGTAGCTGCAAATAAATCAGACCACACTGTCATTTGATCATCAAACAGAAATTGGAATGGCATAAAGATTGGAACAAATGATCAAACCATATTAACATATCAATACACTGCCAACCAGTAATAGATTTATTCAGTTTTCAATTGCTATGATCTGTTCTATTTCATGATTATGATCAATGATGTGCACCAAAAATTAAGGTGTTTTTCTCCACAAAGGCTGATTCTTGATTTCAATCATGTTCAAAAGCATTAATTATAACAGTTATTTCCTGATATGACACTATTTTCTAGACAACAGTCGTCAGAACTTAATTTCAATAAAGTGAAAGTTTGTGCAATTGAAAAAAGATCAATGGGTAATAAAACTTACCTAGAGTACAAGCAAGAGCCATGCCAACCATGCCTCCTCCGACAATGGCAACATCATACTGCTCAACATTATTTGTTTCAACAGGCTTATCTCCACCCTCCTAGAAAGTTCTTACAGCAAACCCATCAGTTTCTGGAAAAGCATATTGACCCAATCATTTGAAAGAGATTTTAAAAGAATTTCATAAACAATACATATATAGACACAAGAGACTTTGGTGTTGCATAGAGAGCTTCACAATGATCTTCAACCCAAAGTTAACCAGAATGTAATGTTCTCTATGAACTTGTGAAAACAGTTCATATTTTTAAAGAAAAAATGAGATGAATAAAAGAATAGGCTTTCCTATGTAGCCTCACCTAATCAAGGGCAACACGTGTACCAGAAAAATTTTGACGGTGTAATTTTCAATAATCTACCATAAGCAATATGCAACCCAATGATTAGGAACTAACCTCAGCCAAGGGACTCAGCCGAGACTGAGTGGACTCGGCCGAATCCTATACAAGGCCAAAAGCCCCAGATAAATTCACAAAATAGAAAATTTTGAAAAAAAATCAAATGAATCCACTAGAAGTTAAATAAAGTCAAAAATAACTTTCAAAATTCCAAATAATTTTTAAAAATTATACAAAAACGGATTTTAAAATAATTTGACTTATAATTGGGACATTTAAAAAGAAAACCCAAAAAACTAAAATAAAAAAATAAAGATTATGCAATAAAATCACCAATCTTTCCCAAAAAAATCCAAAATTATATAAAAAAAATTATAGAACCATCCCATAACATTGAAGCCAGCGATACAACTTTCAAGTGGACTATCTGTTAGTTGTCAAACATAGGTACTTGACAATGAAAATCCCTTCTCATCCTCACATTTTTATAACTTTCCAGGGTTCCAGAACTATCTTCCGAAGTAAATATGAATTAAGATTATTAATACAAAAATATCTACAACATATAAAACAACATATAATTTACATTTGTAACAATTTCTCCATTAAATTTACAAATACTTGACAATCTAACAAACAGAAATGCCAAGAACGAATACCAAAAAATAAAAGGAATAAAGGTCATAAATGTAATCGGATGTACATGAACATTTTCAGCTTGATGATTCAAACTAGCTTTGGCAGCATCACTTGCATAACTCCTCTTCAATAAAATCCATGTACGGAAAGCGGATGCACAATTCCAGGCACGCATCCTGATTTATATAAAATCAAGACAAATGATAACTCATTCAGAGAAACTCCATGTTCAAAATCATTAAACCCCTCCATGGCTACTACCATATTATGCTTTATCGATCATAACCTCTCACAAAAATGCAAAAGCTTCCACAATAGTGCAGTCATAGAACAATGGAGTTTAGATACCAATCAGCAACTGATCAAGAAACAATTCGTAATGACAGAGAGTAACAAACTTATATCAAACAAAATAACGAAAACTGAAGATCATGGATTATGAGATGGGGCAAAATGTAACTAGAAAAAGAGGTGTGAGAAAATGTAAGCTGACCTGCCAATCGTTCTTACTGAAGTAGAGAGGGAGGAAACCATTGTTCTGTTCTCTTTTGATTTGGGTTAAATAGTTGATCTGCGGGTTAAATAGTTGATGTGCTGTTACTCTCTCTGCAACTAAATTCAATCATCTTACAACAAGTTCCATAGAGCAAACGAAAAAAAAAATGGAATTTGCAACTTTTGGTGAGTACAAGTAAGCTTCGAATCTCACTTTTCCTAGGAAAAAAACCGAGTCAGGTTTTGAGCCGGGGGGAATTATGTGGACCTCACTGCACCATAGTTTCTTGTCTCCCGTACTTTTCAAAGGTTATTGATGAGATGGGAATGGTATATTTATTAAAAAAATGGAGAAGTGTAAAATGAGTCCGTTTATTTTTAGTAACACACTTAATATTGACAATTGAATGTGAAATTGTGTAGCCACATTTTCTTTTAATCAAGCTTAAAGTTTGAAAAAATAAAATTGAACTTTGTGACACACTTGAGCTATGAAATTTCACTGTCCGATGGTTATAAATAATGTGCCATCCATGTACCAAAGGCAAATAGTCTCTTAGTAATACAATTCCTTAAAAATTGGTATTTTTATTTTAAAAATTATTTTAATAGATAATTTAATTATAATAAAGTTTAAATTTTATGAAAACATAATAGTATTTTTGAAATTAGTATTTTATAACTCCATTTGTAAAATTCCATCATCTTTTAATAAAAATTTCAACTTTACTTGAAGATGATAAAAGATCCATTATCTTTTAATGTTATTTACACAAGTACTTTACTTGAAAGCTACATACCACAATTAACTTTTTCAAAAAGAAAAAAAAAAAAAAAACCGTAAGTCCACCCTTCGCAACTCATTCTAACAATAAACATTTGTAATTTGAATAGATGTAAAATTGTTGATTTTTCCTTTTTTTAAATTTTAAATTAGCTAACTAACTCCTGCATAATGTATTTTTGTGCAGCCACCCCTCCAGAGAAAATAATTTCATTTTAGTTGAAAATGCCCCTATATTTAAACCTACAGTTGTCTTTTTTAAAACTTAAAATTAGAAAGTTTAGATAGAGAAATCATCTTAAAAATTTTGAGAAAGAAAAATTATCTCAAATTTCATGTTTATTGAAAACAAAGTTATTTTCTTCCTTATAAAGTAACTCAAAAAAATAAACAATAATTAGGTTAGTCATCTAACTTAAAAAGTATTAGGGGAATCATACCTTAAAAGAATGAGCAGGGGTTATATATAACTTCACCAAAAATTGTAACGTCCCCCTTGCCAAAAAGAACCCATATAGGTTCTTCTCTTTCAGTTTCTCCCCTTGGTCTCTCCTCGCCTTATTCATGGTTTGTATTTAGGCATGGAGATTACCGTTCAGTCTGCTTCTCAGTGTTTACAGGAATGAAATGGGAGGACTTCTCGATTTCGGAAAGGGGGTTTTACTTGATCTAATTAAAGTGCACCTCCAAATTTTATCATAACATGTAATTTTGATGTACAAAACTCCTAGGATTATCTAAAAAGCTATTTTTATATCCAATTATAAAATTTTAAATGCCAAAATTTGTTAAAATAAAGTAGATCTATATTTTTTTTGACAATAATACTATCACTTCATTGATTTGTAAAATATAAAATTAAAGTGATTGAAATAATCATTTCCCCCAAGCCAACTCCTTTTCTGCGAAAGCATTTGCCATCTCATTAGCTTCTCTAAAAACGTGTTGATACGAAACATTCATCTGAGAAGTGATATCCACAATCTCCATCCATTTCTCTCGCAGCATCCACAGAGATCCTGGTCTCCCTATTGCACCAATTTATGATATTAAGTGAATCACCCTCAACAATACAAGGCACATTCCTGAATATTTGTAAAAGAATGTGAAGTCCTTGAAGCACCGCTTCCATCTCTACAAAATTGGCGGTATTCATACCACAAGACCCTATGTAGCATAACACAATGTTCCCATTTGAATCCCTTATGAAGCCTCCAAAGCAAGCCACACCTGGATTTCCAAAGAACTCCGATCAAACTTTAATTTGAAACTTTCAACTGCCGGCAGTATCCACACTCCCCTATCCCAAACCTTTAGAACCTTTTGTCTAATCAAATTTGCAAGGTTCACAGAGACATCCACTTTCGAAATACCAAACCCTTCTTTAGTGATCGACAACCAACTCCAACTATATTGAATAATTCTTCTTCTAACCACATTCTCACGCACCATTTTTCCTTTAAAAATTCGAAGATTTCTCTCCTTCCGCAACTCCCACAATACCGATGCCTTAACAATTTGCCAAAATTTCCTACCCATAGATGTTAATTGTCAACATTCCCATTGATTCAACATGTCAGTGTGAGAGTTTAGGAATACCATAGAAAACCCCAACATCTGTAGTACCCAACTCGAAATATTATAAGCAAAATAGCAATGAAGAAAAAGGTGATCTCTACATTCTTCCGCTGCCCTATACATAAAGCACATATTAACTAATTCTACCCCTCTTCATCAAATTATCAATTGTTAGAGTCTTTCCTTGAAATAAAATCCATAAGAAAACTCTAATCTTTAAAGGAAACAATCAACTCCATAATTTGTGTAAAGATGGGCAGTTCCATATCAAGCGGTCATAAATGTGCAACGAATATGCGAATCTAATGCTCAAAATTCCATCACTTTAAGCTTCCTAGACAAGATCATCATCTACCAATTGAGAGAAACGACATCCTTGAAGAAGCTTTAGCAATTTAGCATATTCAGTAATCACAACATCCAGAATCCTATTTTGTGTCAATTGAATTCTCCAAACTCCTGTCACACCATCTCCATCAAACATTTCCAAAATTGTAGCTTCTTGACTTGATGAAGACGCAAAGACATGTGAAAACCGAAATTTAAGAGGACACTCACCTAACCATTTGTTATATTAGAATGAAATTCAAATTCCCTTTTCCAAGTACCCATGTTGAGCCATTTAGTGAAAGAAAGACCAATGTGATCCTACCGGGGTAATTTTTTTTTTTTTTTTTCTTCTTTTCACCCATTTTCTTTTCTTTTTCTTTTGGCAAACGATCACTTACAAGTGGTCTTATTACAATAACTTTTGTTTCAAATAAAATAAAACTAACAAATCCAAGATCTTAAAAACCTTGATGTTACTAAACCAATTTTCTTCTAATCAAAGAAAATATCCATAATTTTTATGCTTGGGAATATAAAGACAATATAATTAAATATAGTAAAAAACAAAAGGAGAGTACCAGAGATTACCTCAACCGAGCTTATTACACTCCACACCGAGTCACCATCATCCGATGACGTGGGATTAATTATCAACCTTCAATATCAATCGAGAAAGCAAGTTTATCCCAAGCCACACTAATAGAACATGATCCCCTTTGATCACAAATTCAAACCTAGGTGAATTCTCTTATCAACCTAGTTTGAGAGAGATGGATTCTCGTTTTAGTATACCCTAAAACCCCTAGCCATAAATCCATAGTTGAGAGATGGGAGAGATAATAACCTCATAGCCCTTTTTTACAATGTGGAAAAGAGAGATCAAAGATGAGAGAATGGGCGTACCCCCTTTGGGCTTTCATGAGAGAGATAAATTTTGTTAGGAGAGAGATAGAAAAATAAGGTGTAAAGATTTTGGGTAGAGACAATCTCTTTTATAGGCTTTAAACAATATTAGAGTTTCTTAAGGTTTTTCTTGGCATGCATCTTTTTGTGAGATTAAATATGAACCATTGATCTTGGATGACTTGTGGGGTGAGATATTTGAGCCATCCATACCATAAATGAGCCATCAACATTATAGAATATGCTAGAACCTTTATCCCCCTCTTTCCTTTGACCATTATCCCTTCATTATAAATCAAATAAAATAATATTGATCATAACATTGTGTTTTATCCAAAAATATGTGTAAGCCTTATCAATCCTTTTAAAAGATTCACTCAAATCTTCTTTAATCACTTATCCCGTAAAAGATAATAAACCCCCTAAAAGTTGGGCATGCCACCCTATGGGAATAGAAAGCACCAAAAATTAGGGCGTGTCACTCATGTGGTGTCTTTTGTTGCCCCCATCAATTTAGGGCATGGTGGGCCCATGTGCACAATGGCCCCCAATGTTATTTTTAAATATTTAAAAATCAATAAATGACTTTAGAATTAACTTAAATATTTAAAACCTTAAAAATCAATATCTCTGCTTTTATAAATCCAAATTTTATAAATAAAATATTCAGAGATCTAAAAAAATTCAAATAATAATTCTAAAATCATATCATCATAAAATAAACAAAATTAAATTCATTAGATGGGATAAGGATCTATATGGTCTAGGAATAAATAATCTGGGGCACTCCACCTTCAACTGTGGACTACGGACCACATTTGCTTTATCAAATCAACCCAGTGTTTTTCATGGCCCACAGTCCATGCAGGGGCTCATTAGTGGGTCACCAAAGTCTGGCCGATGAGCCAAGGGGTTATAATCCCAGTATGTGGAGTTTAGGTTCTCCCCTAAAGACGGACAAAGGTAACCTAGACCTCATGAGACTACAACTCCTATGACGCATAGGGGTATCTCTCGCACATGCATACGCTTCACCCTAGAATGTGGCTTACTTTCTCGAAACAATCTATCGATATGCATGCTGCATGATGGTACATGGATGAGGCTTTGGCCCCCATCTATGAAGGCTACCATCACTTACAAGAGTCACACAATCTCTCGGCTCACTCATCTAGGCATACTCCGACCTCATCAAGGGATGACCCATTAAAACTCTTATCGATTTATACTATATGCCCATATAACATGGGGTTTTTCCAACAAACAGGCCTAGACCGTCAAGCACAGTCCAGTATCAGCAAACATCGATTGCTTAGTATGGTCCATGAGAGACCACACTCACACTGAGTTCATGTTCTACTATATCATTTCATTGTACAAGCACTCATAAGGCCTTTAATAGCTACACTCACCCATCATTTAGCACAAACAATCTACTGCCAATAATCCCTTTCCATAAAAGTCATTGATATGTTGCTCTTCTTCCCCTTGAAAACCATTGAGTTGTTGAATCTACTCCATATTTCAATACGAACACTTCTCTCCACATTTGATCCCCCCAATGCATGGATTGCCACCACCACTTTCCTAAAAGCTGATTTACCAATTTCACTCTCTGA